GACGATGGCACAGAGGTTTACGCTGTGTGCCAAAACACACACACACACACACACACACACACACACACACAAGAAAAAACGCACGCACCGCCTCTGTTCACAAGTTTAGAGTCAGTCTGGAAAACTTGGTGATGATGTTTTAATTGACAATGCACATTATAATAAGGATCCTCTATATGGGCTTTTAATGGGGTGTTTGGGTATGGTGTATTTTTTGGTTTTCCTTATAAAGCAACCTAAACCATTTTGAAAATCTAAACACAAGGTCCGCTTTCTTTGTGCTTCCAAGGCTTTTGACCACATCTCACAGCCTCCCTGTGCTTATTTTTATATCCCTTCTTTTCAACCTAGTGTTTTCAAGTACAAGAATGAACATTCAACATTTTGGCACTATTCTAGGGTGTTTTTTCCCCACAGAATAAAACTATAGAAAATCACTTTGTCACTACTTTACCACAAGCAAAACATGAGCAACCTAAAATATTTGACTAACTGAATCACAGACTGAAACAATGAAACAGACCAGAGCAGCTTAACATAGCTGGGTGTGTTTGACTGCAGGTCATCACTTTACTTGCATAACAATGTATATCTTTAGTTTGGGTTATGCATGGAAACAGTTCAAAAGTTGAGTGGTTACATGATCAGGACTTTTTTTAGGCAACACAGGCCAGTTTGATTTCCTGGTTTGTCCCATAGGATTTGATCCTAATAGGCCACTAATCCTCTTGACAACTGGACAGTTTGAGTCTCCTTGTTGGTTATATCACTGAACAACTTTAGATTAGTTCAGTGCCATTATGTGTGTTAGAAAGCGAGGATCCCTCCATTTAAATAACGTTTCATACATGAATCAGTCACTGCCGAGGACAAAACAGCCTGACAGTAAAATGCTAATTTATGGATTGAAAATGGAATAATGATTGGATTTGTGCGACTGAGATTCTCTATTGGAGAATTTTTAATTTTCTAATGTAATGCATTTGGAGGACAGCTTTATACGATGAGCCCTGTGCAGGTAAAGAGAGCGATGCTGCAGGTCAAACAGCAACAGAAGGAGACGTTTGGATGATTAAACGGTTGGCAGACCAGTTAAGGCGCCTGCTGTGTGTCAAAACTGATTTTGATGCTGTGTTACCACCAGAGCTTCTGCATGCTGTGCTGTAATGTTACATTAGAATTGCATGAAGGATATTTTTTTTTCATAGCTTCACTTTACTGCAGGGCTCCCAAGGCTACTTCAGCAGTAATATGACGTGCATTTTGACATCTGCTGCCTGATATCACTGTCACTTCTCATTACAATGGCCTTGACCTGTTAGCTAGGGAGGGCATTTGAAAAGGCTGTCAGCCTCATTTGATATCTGCTTTTTTTTTTCTCTCATCAGTGTATGAAACCAAATATTACTCCCTGAATGATACATGCAGTCGGCTGTGTACTTTAACCCGTATGTGTCTTACTTTGCCACATAATGCAAAACCCACAAAACACCAAACCAGTCATTGTAATAACACAATAAATAAGTGTTAAATAGATTTTGGGTGACATGACTCCGGGCTGATGTTGACCTTGTAGGATTAAAAAACACATTTAGTACAGTTGAAAGCTTCCTTCTCTTAATTTTAGCTTTGAAATCGATTTGTTCACTTCCGGACGCATTCCTTATCTTTTAACCATTTAACGATAAGCCAATCACATGCTGCATCATCTGCTAACCACATACAGCCTCTACTAGTAGTCCTGACTTGAGCACTGATCCAATATTAAGGTAATTAAAACACTAATGTTTTAACCAATATCTCATATTTTTCCACACTTTCCACAAAAAACCCCCAATTAGATTCAGTTCACGAGAAATCACAATATGAGCACAGGGATGAGATCAATTAAAATGATTTACATTTGTACTTTAATTATCCTCTCAAGTACTTTAGAGTTTTGCATTTTTATTTATTTACTTATTTTTTCTTTCTCTTACTTTACATTGCATAGGCTACATGTTGTTTATTGTATTTGTGCGTTGCATTTACTGTATGTGAATGTGTATGTGAGCTACAGCATAATTTATGGGCACTTTATGTATTGGAGAATATATAATTGGTATGATTATGTACATGAGTAGACCAAAATGATCTCCTGACCCATAATCCAGTTTATTCTAAGTTTGAAAACAATAAATAAACCGATCAGAAATAAAACATTTTCTGTGACATACTTAAAAAGATGCGATTTACCTGCTTGGCTTTAAAATGTATTGTGTTATGACCCTGAGGTAGAGCAGCTCACTGAAACTTTGACATGCTCTGTTTTTACCAGTTAAAAATTGAATATATTTTTTTATACCACCCACGTTCTCCATACCTCCATACCTTTTATTTTGAAATGTCCCCATACCGGAAGCTTTTCCTGGGCGGGGCCACCGGTTTTCACTTCCTTGTTGCACACAGCTAACAGAGCTGCACAATGAAAACACTCACTTTATTGAGCTTATTTTCCACATACTTATTATCGAACAGCATTAACATCGAGGTGAGTGCAAATTGTTTCCATGCAGCTTGAATATCCCGCCAGTTATCTTGTTTTATGTTGACTTTCAACTGAAATGTCGCTCCCATGTTAGCCTCCTGTGATGAGTCTGGTTGCTTGTACGAGTCGAAACCAGATGAACAAAATATAAATGTATTAATTTAACTCTACTTTTAAGGATAATGCGGGGCAGTTCTTCAGCAGTGGCCACACTAACAACTGGGCTGTCCTGGTGAGTATTCATGGGTGTAACATCTTTGCTGAGTGCATGCTGATTCATTGATTCATTTGTCCCCTTTGTGTTTCATGTGTTTGTGCACACACAGGTGTGTACGTCCAGATTCTGGTTCAACTACCGTCATGTGGCCAATACTCTGTCAGTCTACAGGAGTGTGAAGAGGCTGGGGATTCCTGACAGGTGACTGTGATAAAACATCTGTCCTCTTCAGATATCCAGTGGTGATATTAATCTATAGGCACAGAAATACTGCACTGCTCAATAATCTATTTCTTTTAATGAGATGTTGATGTTTAGGAGCCTTTTCCTCGAACATCAGATATTAACCAGTAATGATTTCCACTCCTGAGATGTTGGAGGCTGCTAGTCATTAATACATTCACTACTCTTGTATATCATGGCTGCCTGATTCTTAGCTTAATCTGACTGTGGTTTATTATATGAAGAGACACAGTTTAGGATTCTGTGTGCACACTCCCACTTGTCGTTGAGTGCAGAACAATTTGAGTACAAGCATTACATGTCCGTCACATGTTCATCAAGCTCTTCTTCCAATATGCTTGATTTATTTGCCCAATTTATTGGCCACTCCGCTATAAACAGGCTGGAGCCGTAGAAAGCAACAGGAAACGTAAGAATGAGAGACAAATGGGTTATATGTGGCGAAGATCCCTTGCTATACTTACTGGGGATGTTAAAGATACAGAAGGCATTCCTCTCGGGCTACTAGGAAGCTCCTGTTAGGGTTGTCCTCAGCTAGAAGTACAAATATCTTCAGAGGCCTCTTCACCCTGGTTAGAACACAGTTTAAAGAGCAGCGTGATTCTTATGAAAAATATTTGGATTGTTATTGCTTTTAAAGCACATACTGGTCAAATGCTACCGCTTTGTCATTAATTGTAAAAAATATTTCTGTGCAAAGTTGCCTTGAGCAAGATACTGAACCTCGTGTGTGTGTGTGTGTGGAAGAAACAAATGTAGGTCACTTTGTACAAAAGTGTCTGCAAAATGAATGCAATGTAAAGTAACTCAACCTCACACTAATGGTATTTAACTACATAACATAGCACTTCAACATGTTGTTGACAACACAAGTGCAGCAGCAGTGAAGTCATTTAACTTATTTTCTAATGTAATCATTTTAAATGGCTTTTTTGTTCTCTTTTCAACCCACATAGTGCTCATGCTGGCTGACGACATGGCTTGTAACCACAGAAACCCCAAACCTGCCACAGTTTTAGCCACAAGAACATGGAGCTGAATGTGTACGGTGACGATGTGGAGGTGGACTACCGAGGATATGAGGTTGGTTCACATCGCAGTCAGTCAGTTACACACACACACACACACACACACAACACAACACACACACACACACACAACTGCAAAAAGTTGTGTGCGTGTAACTGTAAAGTAAATTCTTAAGCACTGGTTTAAGTTTGAACCAACATGTCTGCTTTTAAATGTTAGGAACAGTTAGCTTCTCCTGGTCTCCGAGCTGCTGCTAACGTTAGCTCAGCTGTTTCTCTGATAACTTAAAGATCCAGATGTCATCCAATTGAAATATATAGTTAAAAATAACCAAGATCTAAAAAAATGTATCGTAATAATGTGGCTTAAGACTGGATAACGAGTCAAGTTATGGCAGACAACAAGAATACATGCACAAAGAGGATATGACTTCACTGACAGGTGACTGGTAAAACACGCCTTTACCTGAATAAAATTACAGATATCTGAGTTTGAATATTGTTGGAAACATTTGGGATAATGTAAATTCACAATTCAACAAAATATATAACATAGGTCTTGTGTTTATTGACATTTTTATGTGGAAATGTTAAATATTATATCCTTAAAGGAAAAGACATGGATACTTTTAATTAAAATGTTTTACCTGCTTTATAAAAACTATACATATAACATCAGATATTATACAGGTGCAGGAGGGGAGTGGAGGGGGCTAAGGTCGACACTGTTCATCCAGTGTTTGCTCTGTCTGTTGAGCA